ATAATCAAAACAATGTATAACTCCAGCTCTGAGATCCCGGCTGGCTGAAAGCTGGTTTCTGGGGTTTTGTTTAGCTTCTATATTTGTTAAAATGTTTCAAACTGCAAGGTCAGAGGCCGGCAGCGGCAGGCGGGGAACGTTGGAGTCCTCTGTCACTGAAGCAAGCAAGCCTGGCTGCCGGCTGCCATCTTGGCTGGCAGTTAATTTGCATATCACCCTGATTAGCCAATGGGAAGGGTAGCGGTCGTACGCTAATTACCATGTTTCTCTTTTATTAGATTAGATATTTTTATTGATTTCAGAGAGGAAGGGAGAAAGAGGGACAGATTGAAACATCAGTGATGAGAGAATCATTTGATCAGCATTAAATCATTGATCGGCTGCCTCCTGCATGGTCCCTATTGAGGATTGAGGCCGCAACCCCGGCATGTGCCTTGACTGGACATTGAACTGTGACCTCCTGGTTCATAGGTCAATGCTCAACTACTGAGCCACTCTGGCTGGGCTAACTTTTTTTTAAAATCCTCCCCGAGGATATGTTTTTTATTGATTCTAGAGAGAGAGAGAGAGAGAGAAACATTGATCTCTTGCCCCCTCCCCCCATTTCTCAACTGGGGATGGAGCCTGCAACCTGGGCATGCGCCCTGACCAGGAATTGAACTGGCAACATTTCAGTGTATGGGGCGACTCTCAACCAACTGAGCCACACCAGGAATAGCTAAATTTAATTATTTTTACAACCATGAAAGAGAGTTTTCTTAAACTGTTCTTTAGAATGGTTTGTTTTGTACTCAAAGTCACCTGGTGTTTTGTTTGTTTGTTTGTTTGTTAAATATATTTTTATTGATTTCAAGAGGAAGGGAGAGGGAGAGATAGAAACATCAATGATGAGAGAAAATCATTAATTGGCTGCCTCCTACATGCCCCACACAGGATCAAACCTGCAACCCAGGCATGTGCCCTGACCGGAAATCGAACAGTGACCTCCTGGTTCATAGGTTGACGCTCAACCAGAGCCACACCGGCTGGGCCATTTCTCATTTTAAATGGCTACTTTGCATCTTTTGGATACTCCTAGGCCTGGGGAATTTCTCCTATTAGAGTCTTGATTTTCCTGTTGCCTTTGGTGGCTTGTGCCTGAGGCCAAGATTGGATATACCTACATAGGTCTTGGAATAGGAAGGGAGCAACATGACAAATATCTTGAATAATTTTTGCTGTCGAAACATCACTTGCTATAACACTTATTTTTTTTTAATCTTTTTAAGTATATTTGTATTGATTTCAGAGAGGAAGGGAGAGGGAGTGAGAGATAGAAACATCAATGATGTGAGAGAATCATTGATTGGCTGCCTCCTGCATGCTCCCTACTGGGGATTGATCTCACAACCTGGGCATGTGCCCTTGACCGGAATTGAACCTAGGACCCTTCAATCCGGAGGCTGAAACTCTATCCATTGAGCCAAACCCACTAGGGCACTTGCTGTAAAATTTAGAAAAAAATGTTTTAAAAAACAAATAGGGTGCTGTTTTTGTGCTCAGAATAACTTTCTATATAATAAAAGGCTAATATGCAAATTGTCCCCTTGACTGGTAGTTCCACCAGGAGGCTGGGCCGGCCGGCCAACCACCTGTGGCCCCCCCAGCTGGCCCCGCCCCTGATCGGCCACCCCCACCTCGATCGGGGGCCAACCTCCCACATCCCCTCCCCTGGCTGGCCTGGCCCGATCAACCCCGATTGGGGAGGGCCGGCTGGACCCCACCCATGCACGAATTCATGCACCAGGCCTCTAGTGATTTATAAATGTGGTTGGTTCCTGTATGATAAGGAATTTGACCCAAATAGAGGTAAACAAACACTTTCCCCAGTGATAGGAATGTTTGTTATTCATGGAGGGCCCTAAGCCATATCAGCCTAACCTGGGGACAGGAGCTGGGGACTGACTTCAACCAGGTGGACAGTAATTCAGTCATTCATGGGAATGCCATGAAGCCTCAATACAAACTGGACACCGACACTCACACATGGGTGCTGGGATTGTAGTGCCTCCTGTGAGTAGATAATTAAGGGTACAAATTGACTGGCTCTAATTTGTACCCTTTCCCTGTAATAACTGAGTATAATTGCCCTTAGTGAGTTCTGTGAGGCTTTCTAGCAAATTACTGAACATAAGGATGGTTGGGAAGCCCCTGAACTTGCAGTTGTTGTCAGGGGTTTTGGGCAGACATGATTGTCTTCAGGACTATGCCTTAATTTTGCAGCTTTCTGGGTGGTATCCCAAGAAGTAATTGTGCCTGGTCATCAGTTTCTACAAAAACACCGAACTTTTCTCCCTCCCTATGTTTTACTTTTCTTCTCTTTCTCCTAGTTGTCCCTTTTATTTTTCATATCTCTTTTTATGCTCCTTTTTTCTTTTTTGTAATTGTTTTATTGCTTAAAGTATTACAAAGAGTATTATATATGTCTTTTTTTTTCTCCCCTTGACCCTCCCCTAGCCTCCCATGCCCCCCAGTGTCTGTGTCCATTGGTTATGCTCGTATGCATTCATACAAGTCCTTTGGTTGATCTCTTACCACCCCCGAACCCCCAGCCCTCCCCAGCCTTCCCGCTGTAGTTTGACAGTCTGTTTGATGTTGCTCTGCCTCTGTATCTATTTTTGCTAATCAGTTTATAATGGTCTTAATTATCCATAAATGAGTGAGATCATGTGGTATTTTAGAGAGTTTTCTTAAACTGTTCTTTAGAATGGTTTGTTTTGTACTCAAAGTCACCTGGTGTTTTGTTTGTTTGTTTGTTTGTTAAATATATTTTTATTGATTTCAAGAGGAAGGGAGAGGGAGAGATAGAAACATCAATGATGAGAGAAAATCATTAATTGGCTGCCTCCTACATGCCCCACACAGGATCAAACCTGCAACCCAGGCATGTGCCCTGACCGGAAATCGAACAGTGACCTCCTGGTTCATAGGTTGACGCTCAACCAGAGCCACACCGGCTGGGCCATTTCTCATTTTAAATGGCTACTTTGCATCTTTTGGATACTCCTAGGCCTGGGGAATTTCTCCTATTAGAGTCTTGATTTTCCTGTTGCCTTTGGTGGCTTGTGCCTGAGGCCAAGATTGGATATACCTACATAGGTCTTGGAATAGGAAGGGAGCAACATGACAAATATCTTGAATAATTTTTGCTGTCGAAACATCACTTGCTATAACACTTATTTTTTTTTAATCTTTTTAAGTATATTTGTATTGATTTCAGAGAGGAAGGGAGAGGGAGTGAGAGATAGAAACATCAATGATGTGAGAGAATCATTGATTGGCTGCCTCCTGCATGCTCCCTACTGGGGATTGATCTCACAACCTGGGCATGTGCCCTTGACCGGAATTGAACCTAGGACCCTTCAATCCGGAGGCTGAAACTCTATCCATTGAGCCAAACCCACTAGGGCACTTGCTGTAAAATTTAGAAAAAAATGTTTTAAAAAACAAATAGGGTGCTGTTTTTGTGCTCAGAATAACTTTCTATATAATAAAAGGCTAATATGCAAATTGTCCCCTTGACTGGTAGTTCCACCAGGAGGCTGGGCCGGCCGGCCAACCACCTGTGGCCCCCCCAGCTGGCCCCGCCCCTGATCGGCCACCCCCACCTCGATCGGGGGCCAACCTCCCACATCCCCTCCCCTGGCTGGCCTGGCCCGATCAACCCCGATTGGGGAGGGCCGGCTGGACCCCACCCATGCACGAATTCATGCACCAGGCCTCTAGTGATTTATAAATGTGGTTGGTTCCTGTATAATAAGGAATTTGACCCAAATAGAGGTAAACAAACACTTTCCCCAGTGATAGGAATGTTTGTTATTCATGGAGGGCCCTAAGCCATATCAGCCTAACCTGGGGACAGGAGCTGGGGACTGACTTCAACCAGGTGGACAGTAATTCAGTCATTCATGGGAATGCCATGAAGCCTCAATACAAACTGGACACCGACACTCACACATGGGTGCTGGGATTGTAGTGCCTCCTGTGAGTATATAATTAAGGGTACAAATTGACTGGCTCTAATTTGTACCCTTTCCCTGTAATAACTGAGTATAATTGCCCTTAGTGAGTTCTGTGAGGCTTTCTAGAAAATTACTGAACATAAGGATGGTTTGGGAAGCCCCTGAACTTGCAGTTGTTGTCAGGGGTCTTGGGCAGACATGAGTGAGATCATGTGGTATTTTCTTTCATTGACTGGCTTATGTCACTTAGCATAATGCTCTCCAGTTCCATCCATGCTGTCGCAAATGGATATATGCACCCCTATGTTCATAGCAGCACAATTCACCATAGCTAAGATCTGGAAACAGCCTAAGTGCCCATCAGCAGATGAATGGATTAGAAAACTGTGGTACATCTACACGATGGAATACTATGCTGCTGTAAAAAAGAAGGAACTCTTACCATTTGCAACAGCATGGATGGAACTGGAGAGCATTATGCTAAGTGAAATAAGCCAGTCAATGAAGGAAAAATACCACATGATCTCACTCATACATGGATAATAAAGACCATTACAAACTTTTGAACAATAATAGATACAGAGGCAGAGCTGCCTCAAACTGATTGTCAAACTGCAGCGGGAAGGCCAGAGAGGGTTGGGGGGCAGAAGGGAGGGGAGTAAGAGATCAACCGAAGGACTTGTATGCATGCATATAAGCATAACTAATGGACATAAGACACTGGGGGGTAAGGGAGGGCAGGGGATTGTCAAGGGGGGGGGAAGGACACATATGTAATACCCTTTGTAATACTTATTATAATATTTTTTTTAAAAAGAATAAAAAAAAAAATCCCTTCCACTGTGTGGAAGGCCTCCCTGAGAAGGCACTTGAGCATTCTGTATTGACCTCTCTTGCTCTTTATTATGATGATTTAAATAACGTGCAGTTTGCCCAAAAATGTGCGGTCCCTGGTGTATGTCTTAGAGATTTCTATGGGGTACACAATGTGTTAAGATCAGTCCTATAACACCAAGGAGCCTTAGGTCACCTAAACAGTGATTTTCAAGTACAAAAAGATCTCATACACAGATAATTGACTGTGAAATGTTTGCACATAGTCATTGGGGTACTAGAAGAAAGCAAAATGTCTTTAAATACTTAATGGTAAAATTTTCCTTCAGCAAGGAATTATGAAAATCTCATTTGTAAAAACTGAATACCTTTAAAGGAAAACTCTGCATTTGTTAAACTGTAGTTCAGTGGACTACCTATGTAGATGTTTGATCTCATTTAAATATGTTTTCCCTTTTTAAAAAGGTCACTTTCAGTTTGGATCTTTGCTGTGAGATAAAAATTTTTAAATTGTTATTTGATGGGAAGAAGCACTTTTACTTTTTTATCTGCAGGTTATAGATAGTTTGTGAGATGAGTGACTTAGAAGATGACGATGTCCCCCAGCTTTCTTCCCACGCCTTAGCAGCTCTCCAGGAATTCTATGCTGAGAAGAAGCAATGTGCCTACCCAGGTGGAGATGACAAATACAATGTTGGGAGAATAGAAGAGAATTGGGTGAGTAAATGCATTCCATATATATTCAGAAATATTGGTGTGGAACCTGTTCTGAACCTAGTTCAGGGTTTGTCTATATCCATCTGATACCCAAAGCTTTGTCACCTGTCATTCGGGAGCTGATAACCTATTTGGGGAACTAGGACAGAGCTGTCCAGGAATATTTTAAGATGGCATAAATGCAGATTTTCCTGGTCATGAACTTTCAAGCTTGATGATCAGTGGATGGGACTTTTCAGACGGGAATAGCATGTCATGTCCCACACAAAGATGTGACTCCTTCCTGTATGCAGATGCATTCTATTTGTTTTTATAGATAGAGCTCAGCAATCCTGTAGAAAGGGAAAAAATATCATGGTAGTAAATGGGGTAACTGAACTTAAACATGTAATGAAACATTAATGAAAAGGAGTTCAGATGATATTAATAGTTTCTGGTGTATAGTGTGCATTTTAATTATATTGTATGGTCCAAATAAAAATAGGAAGTGAAAGAGAAAAAAGTTGAGTTGAGGGAAACTTCTAACATAAGCTCAGATGTAAAAAATTAAATTTTTTTTGCAGGAGATAGTTGAGAATTAGATGAAGCTTGAATTTTCTGTGACTCCCTTAGATAATAGATTTGTCTTCCTCCCTTTGCAACTAGAATGAAGCTTTGTATGTTGGTGTGTTTTCTACAGTCTTTTACATTTTATGTCAAGTTTGGGTTTCTTATATAAAATTTTTCTATTTACCACCTGTTTGAAACTGACTGTGATAAAAAATATTTCTCTCCAAGGGTAGCGGTCGTACGCTAATTACCATGTTTCTCTTTTATTAGTGTAGATGGTCCAAATAAAAATAGGAAGTGAAAGAGAAAAAAGTTGAGTTGAGGGAAACTTCTAACATAAACTCAGATGTAAAAAATTAAATTTTTTTTGCAGGAGATAGTTGAGAATTAGATGAAGCTTGAATTTTCTGTGACTCCCTTAGATAATAGATTTGTCTTCCTCCCTTTGCAACTAGAATGAAGCTTTGTATGTTGGTGTGTTTTCTACAGTCTTTTACATTTTATGTCAAGTTTGGGTTTCTTATATAAAATTTTTCTATTTACCACCTGTTTGAAACTGACTGTGATAAAAATATTTCTCTCCATTCTTTGAATGTTCCATCTATGCAAAGCCTCTTTCCCACTGTTTGTTTCTTTGTGTTTGTCTTCTAGCTTGGTGCTTCTATAGATAGAAAGCATCAGACACCTGAAGAACTGCAACATTCTTGAGTCATCTTTCTCTTTTCCTTCTGCTTAATTTTTAAATACTATGTACTCTGTTCTGATTCTAAAAGTAATCTATACAAAATATATGAACAAAAAAAAAGTAAAAGTTAGTCCTACCTGGTTGGGTAGCTCAGTAGGTTGGACTGTTATCCTGTATACCTAAAGGTTGAGGGTTCAATTCCTGGTTAGGGCACATACCTATGTTGCAGGTTCGATCCCTTGTTGGGGCATGTTCGGGAGTCAGTCAATGTTTCTTTCTCACATAGATGTTTCTCTGTCCCTCTCTCTCTCCCTCTCTCTCTAAAATCAATAAACATATCCTCCGGTAAAGATTAAAAAGAAAAGTCCTAATTCCACTACCTAGAATTAACAATTCTTATAATTTTGACACTTTTCAATTATTTCCAATTACAGTTGACATTCAATATTTTATTAGTTTCAGGTATGCAAGCATAATGGTTAGACATTTATGTAACTTATGAAGTGATTACCCCAATAAGTCTAGTACTTATCTGGCACCATACATAGTTATTACAATATTGTTGACTATATTCCTTATGCTATACTTTACATCCCTGTGACTATTTTTTAACTGCCAATTTGTGCTTTTTTTTTCCTTTTCAATTATTTCCAATTACAGTTGACATTCAACATTTTATTAGTTTCAGGTATGCAAGCATAGTGGTTAGACATTTATGTAACTTACGAAGTGATTACCCCAATAAGTCTAGTACTTATCTGGCACCATACATAGTTATTACAATATTGTTGACTATATTCCTTATGCTGTACTTTACATCCCTGTGACTATTTTTTAACTGCCAATTTGTGCTTTTTTTTTTTTTTCTTGACAAATATTTAAATCATTTATTGCTGTTAAGTTACAGCATTTCAGAATACTCACTGCATGGAAATGAATACTTTTCAGACCCTGGGTGTGAGATCTTAAGGATGTAGCCAGCTGTGGGTTGTCTCATGGTCATTACAGAACAAGTCAAGAGTTCTGAGCACTCAGGTCCTAAGAGTCACCGACTTTGTTCTCTTCCGTTGCTCGTTCAGTAAATTCTAACAGATAACAAACACAGCTTCAGAGAGGGCATCGCTGGGAATCACGGAAATGACTGCCTGTGCTACTACTCGTTTGGGGGAGGAGGAGAGTAGTCAGTACTTGCGAGGCAGCCAGGGGTGGTTCAGGGGCTCTGGGGCTCTCGCTGTCTCGCGGAAATGGTCGGGTCAGTGAAAACAGCAAAACAGTGCTCAGCCGGTCTTCCTCAGCAAGACTGTCCTGATGACGGAGCCGAGCCGAGCCGGTGGCTCAGCAGCGGCAGAGCCTCCCTGCCCGGCGCCAGCCCCTCCCTGCCCGTGGTTACGCTGTTGCCTTCTTACTCCTCTTGTGTTTGATGAGCGCCCGCCCTGGGGAGCGGGGCCACCTCGGTGGCGTGGCACACGAGCAGGAGCCAGTTGTGAGGCAGCACCTTGTAGGCAAATCTTATGAACGTCAGAGAGTACAGCAGAGGGCGAACGTCATCCTCCCACTGATAATCTCCGGAGACTTTTTCATGTCATTGATGGCGGCAATGGGGAGACCCCAGTTGGCTACTGGGCCCCAGAAGTGCATGCTCATGAGGTAGTCCCAGAAATCCTCGCTCCGGACATAATCCGCCGCCTTCCGCACGTGCCAGCGCGCCCGCCTTGGCAGTG